CTGGCATTTTGGCATTTCCTTCTCCCCAGTCTTCCTCCAGACTCTGGTACCTTGATTTCCGAATGACATGCAAACTTTGCTTTCATCTGAAAAAAGTACTTTGGACAACTGAGCAACAGTCCAGTGCTGCTTCTCTGTAGCCCAGGTCAGGCGCTTCTGCTGCTGTTTCTGGTTCTAAAGTGGCTTGACCTGGGGAATGCGGCACCTGTAGCCCATTTCCTGCACACGCCTGTGCACAAGTGGCTCTGGATGTTTCTACTCCAGACTCAGTCCACTGCTTCCGCAGGTCCCCCAAGGTCTGGAATCGACCCTTCTCCACATTCCTCCTCAGGGTCCGGTCACCTCTTCTCGTTGTGCAGCGTTTTCTGCCACACTTTTCCCTTCCCACAGACTTCCCACTGAGGTGTCTTGATACAGCACTCTGGGAACAGCCTATTCATTCAGCAATTTCTTTCTGTGTCTTACCCTCTTGCTTGCGGGTGTCAATGATGGCCTTCTGGACAGCAGTCAGGTCGGCAGTCTTACCCACGATTGCGGTTTTGAGTAATGAACAAGGCTGGGAGTTTTTAAAAGCCTCAGGAATCTTTTGCAGGTGTTTAGAGTTACATCGTTGATTCAGATGGTTAGATTAATAGCTTGTTTAGAGAACTTTTTCATGATATGCTAATTTTTTGGGACAGGCATTTTGGGTTTTCATGAGCTGTGTGTCATAATCATCAGTATTAAAACAATTAAAGACCTGAAATATTTCAGTTGGTGTGCAATGAATCTGAAATATATGAAAGTTTAATTTTTATCATTACATTATGGAAAATAATGACCTTTATCACAATATGCTAATTTTTTTAGAAGGACCTGTATGCAGGTGAAACGATGGGATTTCATTATCACGAAAAGCACCCCATCAGGGTTTACCTTGATGAGGTCGAGTAAAAGTGAAGACTTGAACATCCAGTCTAGTTTCACATCCTCGTTCCTGAGCAGGTCCTGTAGGCTGCCCCGTGAGCAGTGCTCCGTCACCACTGCAAACATGGAGAAGTCCTGGAAGAAGCCCAGGAAGGGGTTTACGTTCTCGTTTCTCAGATCCTTCATCTGGAGGGAGGAGAAAACCCAGAGTAAATCAACCATCGCACCAACAGATGAACTGAAGTTCGACATGGAGCTCTACCTTGGTGAAAATCCTGGTGGTGCTTTGTTTCACCTCTTTGAACTGGCCCTCCTCAAATTTCTTCAGCCAAGCCCAGTCACCCTGAGCAGTGGAGACAGGCTTAGGGTTTGTATACATTGAATATTTTTAACAACAGGTGAGCTAAATTTGTACAGATGTCATTCACTGAAAGCAGGAAAATTAAAGCAGAAACCTGCAGAAAAACAGCAGAAATGTGCTGAAACAGGAAGGGAGAGGCTGAATAAATGAAAATAATAATAAAAAAATGAAATAAGCAAAACAGAACTGAAATGAACAGAAAAAAAATGAAATTAGAAAAAATGATGTTCCTAAAAAAATAAGAAAGAGCTGAAATTAGCAGACAGAGGCTGAAAGAATGGAGCATAAAAGAGTAAAATTATTCAAAAGAATTAAAAAAGGTGAAAATTAGCAAAAGAAGAGGATATTTTTTAATTAGCAGAAAATACCTAAAAAGTAGCCAAAAAGCAGAAAGAAGCTGAATTTACCATAAAGGAAATTGGCAGAAAGAAGCAGAAAGGATCTGAAGGAAGCTAAAATTGGCCCAAAGTAGCTGAAGGGAGCTGAACCAGAACAAATGCTGAAGTGAGCATACAAGTTTTAAAGACCTCAAAGGGTTTGATGGATGAAAAAGTGCTCCATTCATTTTAAATTAGAAAAACATGGTTGACAAATGCAATTATTTCAAAAAGTAAAAAATATACAAATATACCAAAAATCACAGAAGGAATGTCCAGAATGAGCTGAACGTTTTGATTAATGAATCCTTGAAATAGAACAAAAACTGAGGAACGAGTTAAGTTACAAAAAATGTACGAAAGAAAACTGGATCTGACTAATGAGAATGATTCAGAAACATTCAGACACAGACAATAAACTGACAGAACCTTTGATTTAACATTAAATTAACTACTGAACTCCCAAGTCCGGGTCAGAAACATGCATTTCAAGGCCTAACAAACTCATATTGCACATCTGTTCATTCTTGTGGCCTTGTGAATAAAACCGTAACTCAGATCACACTGAGACCCTAACACCTTCTGTATAATGATATGTTATTAAACCATTATTTAACCAATGCTGTTCAAAGGAGGTAAAACTAAAGACTTAAACAATAATCTTCATCTGTCAGATTCTTTACTCAGTCTCCAGTTTGTTTCAGATTTATTTACGTCAAAACACTTTACCTCACTATGAAGCAACACATATAGTTTGTATAAAAGTAAAGTGGAATTTTAAGTAAAATACCAACAACTGTGGTCAACACAGCTTACTGAAAAAACACAATGAAAGTATGTAACACAGTACCATACAGTTTTTGGAAATAGATGAAAATAGTTTGTTAATGGTACATAATTAGAAAATATATACATTATATACTGTAAATTTGTTCATGATAAAAATAACTTTAAAACAAGTGAATTCAATAAAAGTCCTTGAAGTAAAAAACAGTGACAAACATATTGTTGTATTCTATTGAAAGATACAGTTTTATAGTAATATTCAGGAAGTTAATGATTTCCAGATGTGCATTACTTTAACTTTCACACCATTAGGCAAATCACATACAATGTATGTAACAGAAACACACAGTGAGTATTAGATACACAACATATACTGTACAAAGTACATTACGAGTATTAAATCTGTTATAAATTTATTTTTTCCTGTTTTGACTTGAATAATAAAATTAAATGTCAGACTATACCAGCACAAGTGGATAAATATGGCAACACACTATCTGTGGGTAGTGAGTTTCAGATTTTGGAAATCTGAATTTAAAAATGTATTTAGGCTAATTGGTTGAGGTTTATGGGCAGCACGGTGGCGCAACTGGTAGAGGTGCTGCCTCTCAGCGAGCAGGTCCCTGGTTCAAACCCCGGTCCAGGGGCCTTTCTGGGTGGAGTTTGCATGTTCTCTCCATGCATGCGTGGGTTTTCTCCGGGTGCTCCGGTTTCCTCCCACAGTCCAAAAACATGCATGTTAGGCTGATTAGTAACTCTAAATTGTCCCTAGGTGTGAGTGAGAGAGTGAATGGTTGTTTGTCTCGTTTGTCTCTATGTGGCCCTGTGATGGACTTGCGACCTGTCCAGGGTGTACCCCGCCCCTCGCACAGTGATTGCTGGACATGGGCACCAGCGACCCCCGTGACCCAAAATGGAATAAACGGGTAAAGATAATGGATGGATGGATGGTTGAGGTTTATTTTGAAAGGGCCATGCAGTGGAAACTACAGTCACAGGTGAGCACAGCCTTACTGTCAGAGTTCAGGGCTGCCAGATAGGAAATGATGAAAACTTATAATGTTGCTTTAAAATTATCATGTTTTGACCCAAAAGTATTGAGCATGCTGATTGCTTAACTGGCGAGGGGGAAAGAGAGTGCACTATCTTCGACCAAAGAGGGAGTGGGAGGTGGTAAAATGAGGTGTGTATGAGCATGTGCACATTCTGGCTGGTTGGATTTGACTTTCTGATGATCTGTGGGTGTTCACATAAATAAAAATTTAAAAAAATTCCAGTGCATGAGATGTCAAAACTATCTTGTATTTGTGTATCTGAATATATCTGTATACGGTATATCATTTAGACCAGAGGCGTCCAGTCCTGGTCCTGGAGGGGCCACTATCCTGCATGTTTTAAACGTTTCTCTGCTCCAACACACCTGCTTTGAATCATGAGCAGGCATCTGCAGAACATTCTGCATGACTGATTCTTTGAATCAGGTGTGTTGGAGCAGGAAAACATTCACTCCACCTAAAAACATTTAGGTGGAGTAAATGAAGCATCCATGTCTTATTTACTACTACTCTCTGGGCCCCTGAGAAAGGCCATTAATCCCTTGCTGCTCCATGGACGTATTAGATGACAGCCCTCGGCTCCACATGTGTGGTGGGAAAAAGCAGAGAATTAATTTCCCCAATGGGGATTAATAAAGTATAATAATTACAAGTACAACCTGCAGGATAGTGGCCCTGTAGGACCAGGACTGGACACTCATGACCTGAAACTATCACATAAACACAATCATTACAGTATATCTGGCAACACTGATGTTCATCCCCCTCCATTGGATCAGCTGGGAGACTTGAGTGAGTAAACTTTAGTTCACTTCAAGTCATTTTCAGCAGCAACATGAAAAAGGCAATGGTCCAAAATTATAAAGTGACAGCAGAGTGTGATGTTCTTTAAAATGCTTTATCTGCATTTAAATGTTTTGTTGTTGTTGAGCTATTTTAATTGGCTCTGCAAAAAAGACAAATATGCACACATTGTGAGAAGCATGATGTATAAGTTGTTCTTATGTTAGCGGTGGTTGGCAGGTGGATGGGAAGGTTGAGTAATGAGACAAAAACAATTACTGACAAATGTGAAGTGCTTTTCCTCTAATCATCCATCCCAAACATCCCCTCACCAATGAGCGTTTTTAAATTCCTTATTTTTCTGTGGCCCAGCAGGGTTGAGATGATTGTGAGTGTGACCCACCTCATACACAGCTACGTTTGAGTTCTCATACGTTGCAGTCTGCATGCTGTTCACAGAGTGGGAGTAGTCTGCAGACTTCTCATCCAGAGCACTCCTGGACCCACCCAGATCCTCTAAAGTGATTTTCTGTGTCACATTAAAGAATACAGGAGAGTTTATTAAAATTAGTAGCAATGTTTTATTTTCAAACCACATTTTCAGAAAAACTGAACTCTCTTTTAATGCAACAAACTCTTCAATCTGTAGTGTATACAAATATAAATTAAAATGTAACAAGTTTTAGTGACAGACAGGTGCAGGTCAGGTTCATGTATGTAAGTATTTACTGTATCTTGTATAAAATAAGCAGTATGCTTATATCCCCTATCACTGAGGGATTTGAATAGTGAATGTTCGTACTTTTTCTTTTTCCTGCACTGTCTCAGACATTGTTTGGCTGGTCTGAGGCAGCACAAAGTGCCACATATTGGCCAGTGGAGGGAGCAATTTTATCCACCACCAGGTGCAATGGTGGAACTACGGGAGGCCACTGGTGGCCTTGGACCCCATACATTGCTCTTTAGCCACCTGGACTATTTGAGGAAACCATACTTTTAAGCAAAATAAAAACTAGAAAGCACGTTTTTCTTCAATGATCAGGGTGGCTGGTTTACACACAGACACACACGCACACACACTAGGGTTTGAACAACTACATAATTTTAAAACTCAACATTAACATAATAAAACTCGAGTAGAACTCGAGTACTTGATGACATCATAGGATCTAAAGATACAAAAATAAATGAATAAATAAAACTGCAACAAAGGTCATTATTTACAAAAAAAGACCAACAAACCATTGGGAGCATATATTATGCTCCTACCATTTATCATACTGCAAATAAGTCACAGGAAAAACTAAACAATTAGTTATTATTATTATTAAGCTGCAAAAGTGAAAGAAACATGCAGCACGTCAAAAACGAAACTAAAAACAGTGGGGGTGTCGACCACCCTGCACCACCACCAGCTGTGGTGCGCATTAGGTTTAGTTTTAGAGATTAAAATTTTTGTAGTTTTTTTTATAGGTTTAGAGATTCATATAGTTTGCTTTTTGTTTGTGAAACAAGGTCAGAGGAAGCTGGTTCTGGTTCAGTCGATTGGACCCGGTGTTACACCATATTCTGTGACCTGCAACAGTGCATGCAACACCGCCCCCTACGGTCACAATATACAGTGGTATACAGAATTTGGTGTAACACCGGTTCGCAACGAGCTCCAAACAGTCAGGAAGTTGATTCATTTTCTGTTTCCTTATGATGGTTGAACCGGAAGATTCATCTTTAGTGAAATATTTTCACACTACTGATGCATTTCTACCTGTTTGCCAAGAATGGGCCTGCTCCACTCCATCTGTCTGCTTGGAGGAATCCATTTTGTAACCCGCCCGGTGTGGATCACGTGACACGTGACACAATGACGTAACGCCGACGTGATGACGTCTCCACGAATACTCGATGTGAAATTAAAAAACTCGATAGAAGTCCTAGGACTCCATGTGTAGATTACTCGAGTAGTCTGTTAAAGCCCTAACACACACACACACACACATGTTTGGGGACATATCGTATCGGTGATAATTGTCCCATTATGCACCATTATAAACACTGGGAACAAGTCATGACCTTACTTGGAAAAGGTGTAATTGTACAAGGTATCCAGCAGAGGGCGCATACGGACTACTTTCAAGTCATGGCCGTTCACTTTAACTTTCACTTTCAACACAGCCAAGGCAGCGAGCAATACTGTATAGCATATTTTGCTGAACAGACCATGGTAAGTTTATTGTAACTGATCTGTAAAATAAATAAAAAATCAATAATAATAAATTCTCTTCAATCCTCCAACCCGCATGTCATTAGCTACGTGCCTCTCAAGTTAGCAAGCTAACGTTTAGATAACCTAGCATTGGCTATTACTTTTAAAACTTTAGCCAGAACAATAAATCTAATGTAGAGTTAAACATATATATCAATATTAGTAAAGTCATATTTGTCGTCCTCCATGAAATGCATTGTTTGTCTTAAATCTTTACTTCTCCGCAAAAAAACAAAACAAAAAAAAAACACAGCTGCAGTCTGTACTAATTAGGCCTTCACTATACGTGACTGGCTGCTTAAACAATGATCAGGGAAGGGCACTTCTTAGTTTATATTTTGTAACACACTCAATAACTTTATGGTGAATAGTGGATAGAAAATGTGAATGCACGTTAGGAACACTGTTTCAAGACTTCAAGAGTTAAAACAAGTTTAAAAGTATCTGTTTATTAGATTCTTGGGGGTGGACAAAGCTCAACATTATATATATATATATATATATATATATAT